GTCGGGGAGTTTTTAAAACTATCATTAAGTTTTCATCAATACTCTTAATTTTTATTTACAAAAATTAAAAAATACATTTATTATTATTAATATGAAGAACTTTTCCAGATAACATTAAAACGTGAGTAAATAATCAATGAAGTATCGATAGACAATTTTTAACCACATATATCGATAATAATCTTTTTGAATTTTTTTTAGAAAGGTAAAATATGTTATTGTTAGTTTAAAAAATTTATAGGTATTTTTTTTTTTTAAATATAGTACGTAAATGTTTTTTTTTAATGTTGAAAGATATTAATTAAAATTTTTAAGTAAATATTTTTTTAGATTATTTTTTAAAGTTTAAAAGTATTATTATTTTTTTTTTAAAATAAAACACGGATTCTTCCGTTTTTAGAAATGTTATTAGTGGATTAGAGTTGAATTATATTTAAATTAATCGATCATAATTTTATATTTTTCGATCGAGTAAAAATTGTATAATAAAAGATAAGGTATAAGAAAAAAGAAATTAAAATAATAAAAATGTGAGTTAGAAATGTGATGGAATGAGTTTTAAACGTTAATATGACGCATTAAAATCATGCAATAATAGTTTTATTATTTATTATAACCTTAAACCCTAAAAATATGCATGCAAACATATTATGCAATCAAACCTATTTAAATAAAAATAAATTTACCTTATTAAAAATTTAGAGATTAATTATTTAAAAAATATTTATATATATAAAAACTATTAATTTTTTTAAAAGTACACATGATTTTTTTAAAAAAATATTATTAATTTTAAAGCCAATTATACTATAAAGTTTTAATTTTATTAAATTGAAATACAAATTTAAATAATTATTGAAAGAAAATATTATAGAAGTTAGATTAAATTATTGATATGATTCTAACACATTGTTGGGGTGTTATTATTATTATTATTATTAAATTTGTTTCTAGACGTCTAATTGAAGACTTTCAACGCTCATGCTATTTTCAAGACTTAGTGACTCTATTTTGAATCCTTTGAATCCAAGGCAATCGAAGGAAGCTGCACCGGAGAGGAGAGTCAAAGAGTGAAAGCAAGAAGGTTCTTGATTGAACCGATATTACTTTCTTTCACTCTTTAACCAATTTTACTTGACAATTATGCTGAGATATTCTTCACTTTCTCGGAGATGCCCGAAGACCAATAGGTGTAGGAGTGAAAAAAGGTGAGTGCGTTCAAATCCAGTCCTGACTTTGATTGAGGTCACAAGGTAAGTCCCATTGATTAAATAAATGACGTTCAACTATGACTTTTGAAAATAAATAAAATAATACCTTTAATTTGAAACAAGAACAATAAATAAAAAATTAAAAAAAAAAAAAAAAAATCTTAGGATAGAGTTGACCGTCTAACCCAACCCTCTAACTATTTTTTTTTTTAAAATTATATTTATCTATTGGAAATATTACATTTATAAAAATATTTCGAAAAACTCAAATATCAAATATCGGTTACAATTATAAAATATTTTTAATATTCATAATAGCTTTAAATGTAGAGTAGAGTTGAGTTGTAATTCTATTTTTTTCGTTGATCGAATTGGTTAGGTTGACTTGACAAAAAATGTCAACTCGTGAACTGAACATAATTTTTTATCTTCCAAAAATTCAACCCAGCAAAAAAAAAAAATCTAACCCTTAGATTGATTGGTTGTTTGGGGTTGGTCGGATTCTCATAAATTTGAATATTCAGTTAAAAAAAATTGATATGGGTGTATTAAATTTTCAATATTGTCTCTAAATTTTACATTTTTTTTTTACGGTTAAATTTTTTCATTCAACGGTGACTCATTTCGAACTCTATCCTTAAAACACGTGTATCCCATATTGTGAATGGAACTAGCAATTCACGACAAAGGCCAAAGAGAAGCGATGAAGAATGTAAAAGAATGTCATGAACAAAGAATCCGTGTTGATAAAGACATGGTGTATATGAACTTGAGCATTAAAACTAAGATACTTTACTTTAAGGATACGCTACAAATTGTCACTCGATGAAGATATGTCAAATAATAACAATTCATACCTTTAAAAAATTTCATATTAATAGAAATTCGTAAAAAGTTTCCACGATCAAACAAAAACCGAGATAAAGACAATGTTTTCGTTATTCTCTTGGCACTAAATTATGGGTCATGATATGAGTCTATTGCATCAAATATAAGCGTACACGATTTAGTAACGTGTCGATGCATAGATACAAACATGCAGATGTATCATATTCAGTAGTATATGATCATTTTTCGATTTTTCCTATAATATTTAGTTTTCTAATAAAAGTAATCCAAACTAGTTTTTGTTTTTTTCCCCTAAATTATGCATTTATTTACCCGCTTCTGGTTGTGCGCATGTTAGAGGCGTGTCAAGCCCCTATTTTCTGTCCATTCGATGCTCGTTTGTTAGTTTTTCGTTCTGATTTCTATACTAACCTTATTTTAATGCGAATTAGGGCTTCTCAGAGAAAATTCATATTTTTTGAACACCTCCTTGGCTAGAAATCGTACTTAGGAAGACATGTCATACTAGTAAGCAACCACATTGACTTCTAGAAAATAATGCTTGTATGGATCGCTTGGATTTGCATGCATGTTAGTAAAACCAACCTTAGGGCTAGATCGTTATGATCTGTACCTAAGAATATTGCATGATTGCATGATTATTTGCTCTTGTGTCGAAATATGGATGAACTGAACCTTACATGTCAATTTGTTTCGTTTTATACTACATGTACACTATAATGGTGAATTGGAGGATAAGATTTTGTGTATTTGCCCTCCGAGTGCTTGATGGATGTCATTGCCCTGTTGAGCATGTATACGTTGGCTTGCATGAATGACTGTACATTAGCTACGGTGTGATTCTCCTTCTAGAGGATTAACAATAGAAAAGACCTAAGATTAGAGCATGAGTTAGTATGACTACTCTACAACCTAAAGTGAAACGCCTTTAGAAATCGCGTGCCATGGAATTGTAAGAAGCGGTCAGAGGGTGAGACTCCATGCTCTTGACTGATCCAGATTCAAGATGTCAGAAGTATGTAAACTGGAGATGAACTTCTTCAAGACTGTTAAACCACTTTAGAAACGTAGACGATCTTAGAAGAAATAAAGGTACTTTATAGGTAAGTAATAATTGCTGGAGCGTTGTGGAGCTAATTTCAATCAATTAAGTTATTATAATTGACCGATTATTTGTGGTGAGCCCATTAAATTAAAATTGAAAATAAGATACACAAGGTGACGTGCGTGCCCGAGTAGAGACGTAACTTGATTAAAATAAAGAATAAATTAAATTAGATGGCACGATTAGTGGATCATGATAGATTTGAAAGCATTATTTTAAAGATATATGGAATAGACAACTAATTTCCCTCAAATGTTTATCATGTGTCTATTTTTTTTTAAAGAAAAATATATATATCTAGAAGGGTCCACCGTCAATAGCCGACCCCTAAAAATTTAGTCATGATCACATTCGCAAGGACTATGGATGAAAATAGTCCTTCCGAGAAAGAGGCCACTTGATAGGATTGATAGCCGGAATAGTTACGTGAAAGAAAAAATTTCTTAGTAGAGTTTCTCGAAGATAGAATAGTCTCCAAGCACTCTTTAATTACTCGACTGTGAGATCCCATGTCGGTTCGAGAGGAGAACGAAACATTTTTTTTATAAAGGTGTGGAAATTTCTTTCTACCCCTCGAAAAAAAAAAACCTAAAGAGGACAATATTTACTAGCAGTGAGATTGGACTGTTACAAGTGATATCAGAGCCAAATATCAGACTATATATCGGTCAGGAGGCTCGGCCCATTGGAGGTCATAATTTATCTTCATAATTAAAGATTTTTTTCATTAATATTATCTATCTTTATTTTATTGCTATCTTCTCCTAATTAAATAAGAATTATATCATTTTTTACGCAAAATATTGATGTGATGTGTCTATTAATTTTATGTAAAATTATTAATTAACTAAAACTTTAATTTTCATATATATAATTTTTTAATAATAATAAAAGATTAGAAAAAAAAGAATTTTTTATTCCTTTTATGAATGCATATTATTGGGTAATTGCTCCAAATTATTAATTATTGTACAAGTTTGACTGCTTCTTCACGTGGGCTGCCTTTTTCGAGATATAGTCACGTGATTTTTTAATTAAATATTTAACATGAGAAATTATTTGGTAGCATGGCTGCTTTTATTATTATTTTTTTTTTCCTGTCTGTTCCCATGTTATTAAATATAATTTTATTAAAAATTTAAAATCCAATTATTTGGGACAGAGGGTGACCACTACTAATCGAGCCAAGTCTAATTCCCGCTTATAAATCTTGTCGATCATAACAAGCAGGGTTGCTTTTTAAGTTAAGAATCCAATTATTCCAGATAATATGTTTGAATTAAGTTTTAAGATGTCCACGAGGTTGGACAGGGATGTGAAGTAGGTCCTTACAGGATCCCGATTTTGTAGGTTAAATGGACATCTCTAATTGAGTTACTTGATGGGTTCTAAAAACTAGATTGAGTTGAACTGAATTACCCCGAATTTATTGTTAATTTTAAAATATACAAAACGAGCCTTATTATTAACTTAGAGGAACAATTTTTTGTCCACTTTGAGTATAAACTCTTGTGACTTTGTTCTTTTGGCTTCCGAAAAAGCTTTGTATTAATAGAGATGTATTTCTTACTTATAAACTCATGATCATTCCCTGAATTAGCGAACGTGAGACTCCCTCCGGACAATCCTCAAGATTTCGGTGTTCGATATTTTCGTACATTACCATACTAATTTCAATCTTCATTTCATCAATTTGACGATATTATGTCATTCTCAACATAAATGAAATATGTGTACCAACAATATAATGTTTTTAGTACTAATATTACTTCGACATAGAAGTTCTTTATTTAAGTTTCCTTGCTGACATGTTCCACTTCGAAAAACAGATTTGTTTAGGGCTCCGTGTTAATGTGGTCATTGGCAACAACAAAAGCTTTAAAATCAGGTGGTGGTGGAGGAAATTGCTTCGACACCACTGGACCAAGAGTAGGGTTTTTACCGGGATCGGAATAGTCATTTATCACAAAAGCTTTAAAATCTGGTGGTGGAGGAGGAAATTGCTTCGGCACCACTGGACTAAGAGTAGGATTTTTAGCGGGATCAGTGGCAAAATTGAAAATTGCTTGATTTTTAGTGGCAAAATTGTAAGAACTTTATGGTTAGACGTGCTTTATTTAGAGTAATCCTATGTTGGGTGATCTCTTAAAAAATTTTAATCCTTGCGTGCATGTGAATGAGGATGGAACATGTTAAAAGAACTTGTGCTAGTAAGCGAAAATATCAAAATGTGTGGGAGGGTTAAAAAAATGTAAGAAATGGTCCAAAAAATTCAACACAAGCCGAATTAGAGCAAAAAAGGAGCCAACGCGAGCAAGGTTTGCCTTCGACATGTGGGTGTGGGCGCAATGTTGGTATACGCGTGTGGGTCAACACTATTCTTGAAAGATCTATTTCAAAGGAGGTTTCTTTTCTTGACACACTTGTCTCGTCGCCCTCATTATGACATTCAAATATTAAGTGAGTATCAATCATACTTCTACTTTCCAGACTTGCATGTTTGAAAACAATTCTAAAAATGATAAATAAAATAAATAAACGTTTAAATAAAAAACATCATATTCTAGTTTAAGTCTAAGAAAATAATACGACTACCCTATGCATGTGTCATGGTCTCGAGTTGTGATGTCGTCGTCAGCCGTACAAGAATGTCTTACCTTAACTTGAAATAGTGGTAACACGTGCCTTGAGTATTTTAAAAAATACTCAAGAAGTAACCCCACTATTGGGGTTAAATGCAAGAACATGTGAATGCAATGACGAGACCTATCACATCAGTCTATTTTTCCTACGACACTATTCTAATTGTGCAATTTGGATGTGTACCATATACTCTACACACAGTCCATATATGCGAGTATGGACTCACTAGTCAGTTCACACACCGCTGGACCCCTTTTCTTGTCGGGCGAGCCTTCTCTAGTAGCTCAACTTTTGTCGGGCACCCATTAGAATTAGTAACCGTCATGACAGCATTATGTAAAACATAACGATACTTCGCCTGCCTAATGGATGTACCCGTCCGTACCCTCGTGATGGAATAGGAGTATCCCCCAATGCATGAGGTCCCAACATTTTTCCGTTTTCACTATCATTTAGTAACTCTGTTAGCATTTTGTACATATCATAACGTTTTTCATATCGTTTCAAATATTGTTCACAATTTATATCATATCGTTTCTCATTCTTTAGTTTTCATATCATACATCATTCTAACGGGGTTGTATTTCATGTCATTTATCGTGTCATTCATATCACGCTGTATACACACAATTTAAGAGACATAACATTTCATCATATACATATCCTACCATAACATATTACATCACAATGTATCATATCATAAACATGTCAACTTATCACATATCTCGTACCATAACATATTTCATATCATATGACAACATATATATATATCCGTCATTCACATGTCGTACCATAATCATATCACGTCGTAAACACTTCATGCTCATATCGTTTCCTAACTTATTATAGCCTTAACGTTCTTATACCTATCACAGTCATATCGTTGCATGAACGTATCTTAATCATATCATCACAGGAACGTATCCTAACACTATCGTTCTATCAATCTATCACAAACTTATCCATTTTTACCCATAACCTAACCGTATTATTTTATCAATCTCTCATATCCATAGTACTTCAGTATGTAACCTAACTTTAACGTTTTATGAACGTATCTTACTCCTATCATTACATTTCATTTTGTGCATCCTTCTCGTATCTTATCTCAAACATATCATTGAACACATCGTACCGTAGTTATTATCATACAATCCACATATTATAACATATACATAACATATCATAAGCATATCGATCTACAAACAATTCACACATATTAATATACATGACATGTACATATCCACAAGGCATGTGTCAACATCAAATATAATCATCGTAAAACCACTTACCTGATTAGCTTAGGCTAGTGTCACCAATATATCATGAAAATTCGATTCTGTTCTTTGAAATCCAAGTCAACCTATGTGAACTTATGACATCAGTTTCAAGTTTGAACCCTATCAAATTATTTCTCTAATCTAGATTGGTCTATAGTTAAAAGTCTTGAAATGTTGTGTATATATAATGCTATTTTCGCTAAATATCTCGTTTTCTATTGTTGGAATATATTGTTTTTAGACATAAATTAATGGAGTTTCTTGCCCTCTAATATTTAGAGTTTTATTTTTAAATTCTATTCACTAAATCTTTCCTTAATCTTTCCTCCTCTATTTTGGTAATTATTTTTTCATTAGGTAAACAAATCAGTAAACAAATATTATTGGCCTAACCTATCGATGCCAACTAAAAATTGATTCTAACCTTATTTCCGGCTAACAAAAATCTAATTAATGGGATAGGAGAGAATGAGATCGTGTTCTTACCTGATCTTGTAAATATTGAATAAAAGAGAGAAGATTTGACTAACATAATTTCAGACCAAAATCTTTCCATTTGACATTTTTTCTATTTATTTTTGGAAGAACTGTGATATTATGTTAAAAACCATTTAGTTTTTCTCAAATCTGACATTTTTTTTTTTGTTTATTTTTGGATGAACTGTGATATTGGGTTGAAAACCATTTTACTTTTACTCAGCAGTTTTTCTGTTTATTTTAGGATGAACGGTGATTTTATGTTGAAAACCATTTTACTTTTTCTCAAATTTAACATTTTTCTTCTGTTTATTTTTGGACGAACTGATATTGTGTTGGGTTGAGGAGAGAGGAAGGGGTTGGGATGAGAGGTTATTTTTTTGGACTATTACAACATCCTTATTAAAATTAACCAATACGAGGTCCAATGGAAAGAAATATTTAAGGTTCCAAAACGTATCTACAAATGAAAAGATAAAAGTATGGCAAAAGAAAAGATTAAGAAAAATGTACCAAATAGAGAGAGATTTTAGTCTTTTCGTACATTACCATACTAATTTCAATCTTCATTTCATCAATTTGACGATGTTATGTCATTCTCAACATAAATGAAATATGTGTACCAACAATATAATGTTTTTAGTACTAATATTACTTCGACATAGAGGTTCTTTATTTAAGTTTCCTTGCTGACATGTTCCACCTCGAAAAACAAATTTGTTTAGGGCTCTGTGCTAATGTGGTCATTGGCAACAACGAAAGCTTTAAAATCAGGTGGTGGTGGAGGAAATTGCTTTGGCACCACTGGACTAAGAGTAGGATTTTTACCGGGATCAGAATAGTCGTTCATCACAAAAGCTTTAAAATCTGGTGGTGGAGGAGGAAATTGCTTCGGCACCACTGGACTAAGAGTAGGATTTTTACCAGGATCAGAATAGTCGTTTATCACAAAACCTTTAAAATCTGGTGGTGGAGGAGGAAATTGCTTCGGCACCACTGGACTAAGAGTAGGATTTTTACCGGGATCAGAATAGTCGTTTATCACAAAACCTTTAAAATCTGGTGGTGGAGGAGGAAATTGCTTCGGCACCACTGGACTAAGAGTAGGATTTTTACCGGGATCAGAATAGTCGTTCATCACAAAAGCTTTAAAATCTGGTGGTGGAGGAGGAAATTGCTTCGGCACCACTGGACTAAGAGTAGGATTTTTACCGGGATCAGAATAGTCGTTTATCACAAAAGCTTTAAAATCTGGTGGTGGAGGAGGAAATTGCTTCGGCACCACTGGACTAAGAGTAGGATTTTTACCAGGATCAGAGTAGTCGTTTATCACAATCTCAGTTGCTTGTTTTCCTGAAACTTCAATGCACGTACTAGATTTAGTTTCCACAAAAGGGATGAAGTGCATGAACTACGTAAATTTAGAGTATTTGAATTGATAGCGAGTTATGTACCTGAATCGGACATGATTTGAGCTGAGCTAACGAGAGCGAACGAGAGCAAAAAGACAAGACAAAGACGAGCTTTGAACTCCATCTTGTTTCTTTGTATTTCTTAATGAAAGGTGAAGTGTGAGTATATATATATAAATGAAAATTTTATTCCGTTGAAACTGACCAATGGAATGAAAGGAAAGTAACTATGATTTAAAGGCTAAAAAGAACGTTTTGAACTGGCGTAGTTAATATACCATTTTGCTAATTATAGGAGGTTGTTTGAACGTTTAACTTTTAATGCATATTTATTATATTTTAATCATTTAACCCATATAAAAAATTTAATACCTAATTTAGATATTGATATCATACCGAGTATGCAATAAGAATAAGATACATGAATGAGCTAATACCACATTCGAGAGCCAGGCTAGGGATAGAATGGCTAAAAATTGTTTAAAAGAATTGAAAGTTTCTATCTATACCAATAAGGTATGCTTTCTTTTTCCGTGACTCAATCATTGAAGATTCATGGTTAAGCGTGTTTTACTTGAAGTAATCCTATGTTGAGTGACGACCTCTTAGAAATTTTTCATCCTTAGGTGCATGTGAGTGAGGATGAAGCATTCTTGAATAACTCGTGTTAGTTTGTAGAAATGACAAAATCTCTAGGACAGATGATGCTTGAAGAATTGTGTGATGTTGTGGAGCTTTTATGGTTCAACTTGACTCTAGAACTGCATGTTCAATTTTCCTTCGAAACTCTAATTTTTCTACTCGTCCCTTCAACAAGTCTATCTTTGAGACTCATGTCGATATGATTGTCTCGGCTTAGCTTTTATGCACATCTTTGTGGTGTGTTAGATGATGTACCGTCCTCCTCAATCACATCATGGTACTTATCTTTTCTTAGTCCTCGAGTGGTCAATTGAGCACAACTATCGGGTCATCACCTTGTCTTGTCTACATGGAACCACTGGCTGTTTCCACTCCCATGCACCACTCAATGATCACTTACGAGTTTCGAAAAAGAGATTTGAAATGCTCTCGAGTTTATGGTACCTTCTCTCTCAGGAATATGGAAAAATACCCAAATTTCATACACAATTTCTTTTGTATAACCATAATTTTTATATAAACTTTCATAGAAAATTTCTTTTTCAGTGTTACAAACTTTTAATCAAACAGAAATCATTCATACAAATCTAATGTGTAACAGTCGAAGCACACGGCTACGAAACATATCTACAAATCAAATGATATAAGTATGGCAAAAGAAAAGAAATGATTAAGAAAAGTGTACCAAATAGAGAGAGATCTAAGTGTTCGATATTTTCATATATTGCCATACTAATTTCAATCTTCATTTCATTATAAATGTATTGATGTGTTGTAACAAAATTTTCTACTTAATTTAAGGTCGCTGCTATATACATATTATAAACATTAAATGCCGAAAACTTCATTTAAATTTCATAAAATAGAACTTTTAACTTAAAATACAGTCATGGTCTTATGTGTTTTAAAAACATCTAAAAACGACACAACAAAAGACTAAATAAAATAAATAAGCATTTAAGTTAAAAACATTCTATTCTAGCCTAAGTCTAAGAAAATAAATACCACTATCCTATGCATGTGTTATGGTCTCGAGTTGCGATGTCGTCGTCAACCATACAGAAATGTCTTGCCTTAACTTGAAAAATGTAGTAGCACATGACTTGAGTATTTAAAGAAATACTCAGTAAGTGACCCCACTATTGGGTTAAGTACAACAATCACATGCAATGAAATGATGGGACCTATCTTTCGTTTCGTTTTCCCTACGGTGTTGTCCTAACGGGTAAACTTTGGACGTGTATCATATACTCTACACACAGCCCATATGTGCGAGTATGGGCTCACCAACTAGTTCGCACACCGTTGGGCCACTTTCCTTATCCGGTGGACATACTCTAGGAGCCCCTTATGCCGGAACCCGTTAGAACTAGTAACCGTCACAGCAGCGGTATACAAAGCATAACGGTTGTTGTCCTGCCATTGGATGTACGCGTCCGTACCCTAGTGATGGGTTAGGGGTATCCCCCAGATGCATGAACACACATAATGTATGAGGTCCCCATTACTTCTACATTTTCATTATCCTTTAATACAACCCCGCTAGCATTATGTACATATCATATCATTTTTCATATCGCTTCAAATATCGTTCATCATTCACATATCATTTCTCATTCTTCAGTTCTCAAATCATACATAATTCTAACGAGGTTATATTTCATGTCATTTATCATAATTTCATGTCATTCATATCATGTTGTATACACACAGTTTAAGAAACCTAACATAACGTTCTATGCTTTTAACATAACATTTCATCATATACACATCATACCATGACATTTGCATCACAATGTATCATATCATAAACAAGTCATAACGTAAACACTTTGTAATCATATCGTTTTCTAACTTATCATAGCTTTAACGTTCTTATATCTATCACAGGACATATCATTACGTGAACGTACCTTAGTCATATCATCACAAGAACGTAACCTAACACTATCGTTCTATCAATCCTAACGCTATCGTTCTATAAATCTATCACAAACCTATACCTTTCTACCTATAACCTTATTGTATTCTTCCATCAATCTCTCTTATCCATATCACTCTGGTATGTAATCTAACCTTAACGTTTCATGATTGTATTTTACTCTTATCGTTACATTTTGTTTTGTGCATACTTCTCGTATCCTATCTCAAACATATCCATGAACATATCGTACCGTAATTATTATCATACAATTCACATATTATAACATATACATAACATATAAGAAGCATATCGATTCACAGACAATTCACACATATCAATGACACGTGCAGAACCACGGGGCACGTGTCAACATCAAATATAATCATGCCGATAGTAAAATCACTTACCTGGCTAGCTTAAGTCGTTGTCACAAATATATCTTTAATGAAAGTTCAATTTCGTCCTTTGAAATCCGAGTCAACCTATATGTGCCCATGACATTAGTTTCATGTTTGAACTCTACAATATTATTTCCCTAATTTACCTTGGTCCATTTTAAAATCTTGAAATGTTATATATCTATAATAATATTTTTATTAAAAATCTTATTTATCATGATTATTGGATGAAAGAGTAACTCAAATAGAAAATGAAGATTTAATATATACATGGTCAGATCTATCTTCCGGTAAATTTACAGCAAATCTCAACTGTAAAGGTCATTCTCATTTTTTTTTTCTCAAGTAAATTTGACCATTATTGTTTATATATATATATATATATATATTTTTTTTTTTTTTTTTTTTTTTTTTTTTTTTTTTTTTTTTTTTTTTTTTTTTTTTTTTTTTTTTTTTTTTTTTTTTTTTTTTTTTTTTTTTTTTTTTATTATTGTTACTTTCTGACCTAAGAATGAGTTGAAGAGAGATATTTATGGGAAGGGATGAGAGGTTATTGGAGAGAGGTGGAGAGATGTTGTTTATTTATTTATTTATTTATTATTATTATTATTATTATTTTAACTATTTTTATAATTATTTTTATTTGTTTATTTATTTATTTATTTATTTATTATTATTTTTTTTGGCTACATATGCATACACAATATAAAGTAGTTATTTATTTAAGCTTTCTTGCTGATGTTGCTAGCAACATGTTCCATTTCAACAAACAGATTTGTTTAGGGCTTCGTTAAAGCGTCAAAAGCTTCAAATTGTGGTGGTGATAGCAGCGCCGACGGTATTATTGGACTATGACTAGGATTAGGACCGGTATCAGGATAGTCGTTTATCACAATCCTATTACCTTGTATTCCTGAAACTTCAACAGGTTCAAATTGTGGTGGTGGTAGCTGCGACGACAACACAAATGGACTATGACTAGGATTAGGACCGGCATCAGGATAGTCGTTTATCACAATCCTATTACCTTGTATTCCTGAAACTTCAACAGGTTCAAATTGTGGTGGTGGTAGCAGCGACGACAACACAAATGGACTATGACTAGGATTAGGACCGGCATCAGGATAGTCGTTTATCACAATCCTATTACCTTGTATTCCTGGAACTTCAATTATTATAATCAAATGTTTGATTCACATATTAGATTGTGTCTATATAAAAGGGATGAAGTGCATGAGCTACATAATTTAGACTATTTAAATTGATAGCGGGTTATGTACCTGAATCAAACATGATTCGAGCTGAGCTGACAAGAGCGAATGAGAGCAAGAAGACAAGGCAGAGACGAGCTTTGAACTCCATGTTGGTTCTTTGTATTTCTTATGATTGGTAATGAAATGTGAAGCGAGACCTACTTATAAGAAATGAAAATTTTTATTCGATTAAACGTGTGAATGGAATGAAAGGTCGAACGGAAATAGATGGAAGGGAATGATGATTTTAGAGGCAAAACAAGGCAAAAAAAGAACATCTTGAAAACTGGCAAAGTTACCTTTTGCAATTATAGGAGGTTGTTTGAATGTTTTAACTTTTAAGCATATTAACCATTTACGCAATAATTATGAATATTAGATAAAATTTGTGGACCCTTCCTATTTGATAAATATAAAATTTATGATATAAAATTCTTATATCATACTCCAGTAAAGAAGTAGTATATGAATGAACCGAGATTACATCCGAAAAATAGAGATCTTTAAGATAAGATTACTAAGAAAAACTACCTGTCCCAACAAGGTACACTTTTTTTCGATGGCTCAATTATAAAAACTTTATAGTAAAGCGTGCTTTACTTGGAGTAATCCTATGGTTGGTGACCTTCCTAGGAATTTTACGTCCTTTGGTGCATGTGAATAAGGATAAAGCACACTAGAAGGACTCGTGTTAGTCTGTGGAGATAGTCGTCACTTTTAATATGCAAGAAGTAGGTAATGTGATTATGTCGTAGAAAAATGTCGAGATCATCAAGTGTCGAATACAGATTTTGAATCTTAATTCGTATCTTGGGCATAAGGTGTGAACACTACAAGAAACTTGCTATATAATCGCTTTTCACCATAGCAATTTAGAAAATATCTTATAAAGATATAATTAAAAAAAAATCAATAAAAATCAACGAGCAAAAATGGTATCATGTTAACATAGACATTAAATATCTACCTTTTTTGAGAATGGTTAGAGTAAGAAAAAATATAAAGATAAACCATAAAATTAAATAAACAATAAAAATGAAAAAAAATATAAAAATAGACCATAAAATTAAATAAATAAGGATAAGAATAGATCATAAAATAAAATAAACAATAAAAATGAAAAAAAATATAAAAATAGATCCTAAAATTAATAAACAATAAAAATGATTAGTTTAAAGATATCTTAAAATAAAAATATTTTAATTGAATAAAAGTCTTATAACTATTTAAAAAAAAAAAAATATATATATATATATATATATATATATAAATAAATAAATAAATAAATATGTTACCATAAATATATAATAAATACATTAAAATTTAGAATTATTTATTTTAGTTTAATAACATAATCTTTAAATATATTTAAACTAATTTTCTATTTTAATTACATTAAAGTCAAAACATTTGAATTTTTAGAATTATTTAACACGATAAACATTTGTTTCAAAATAATTTGGTATAAATCATAATTAATAAACCTATCCTACCATATATTCTTAAATTAAATAATTATTGGTTAGTTTATTTATATCATAAAGAATATATTTAAAAATAATATATAAGGGGAATAGTTATTTAAAAATGGAATAAAATGTATTAATAGTCAACCAACCAATTAAAAATAATAAAATAATATAAAATAATTTAAAAAAAAACATGAATTTGCCTGATGTCGGAACTTGCATGAGCGTTGGCAAACCAATTAATATGGAAAGATTCTTAATATATTTTTATCTGGGTCGGGTCAATCGGAAGGTTTTGTACTACGAACTCGAAATCGAACCAATTCACTTCAGATTCAAAAAAATGAACCCAACCCTACTTAACCCTTATAGCTCGGGTTGGGTTAGTCCGAGTTGTCGGGTTGAATGTACACCCCTAATTTCTTCAATTCCTGTATTGTCAGACAGCGCGATCTGCTGGCAGTGATGATTTTAGGCGCTATAATTTTAGACTTCTTTTGGAGCTTACCAATAGAGATCACCAATACCACTTACTTTTGAACCAGTTAGTATCATACTCTTCTTGCTTTATGATTTATTGCAGCTACTCTCGGATCAACTTTAGTTGTACATCGAACAAAGCCTCAGGTTTATATTGGTTGCATGAAGTCTGGACACTTCCTTTCACAGAAGTGAAAATTACTTCTATAATTGTAGCTAACGCTAATTGTCGAAATCTATAATCTTTGATTTCCTACCACCAAAACCGCACTATCTCTCATTGAAGTGATTGTCCTTCTAACATTCGGTTAAGACACAAGACCACCAAAACCATCTGCATTTATTATGGGCTGCAATAACCTTTTCATTTCGGAGTGTTTTCATGTGTTAGTCATATTTTTTAGAATACACTGTAAAGATTCTTTTTGTTCTACTGGTTTGTCTTCGTATCATAGTTGATAGGCTTCACATCATAGGTGATGGAATTGGGAGTTTGTTTACCGCTCTATTATGCTTAACATTCTCTCAAAATTATGAAATAGAGTAAGGTTAGTCCATGAGAACCTTTTTGTAGACAAACATGAAAAAATTCCTTAGTACTAGAAGGTAGCAGTAGCACGAGGAATGTAAAGACTCATACGTCAGGTAACGTGTTGACATAGATCCTTTTGATTTTTGCTTATGTTATTTTTTTCGATGAACATAGACTCCTACATCAATTTTTTGAAGAACTATTGTTTCGTTCTTCATAGAAGTATGTTCTGACATGGATATTTTGAGCTAGATCGATGTTTATTGAATGCGGATGATTGTCGATATTAATAATATATACCTCATTCGCATTACATTTATTTGAAAAAAAAAAAAAAAATAGCACGTAGCTTAAATATTTTAAAAATAATTAGTAAGTAGCTCCACTATTGGGTTAGGAAAGGCAAACACATGCAATCATGATGCGACAGACAAACATCATGACATAGGTCTCTACTTTCCAGTTTGGACATAATTGAATGTGTAGTATTTTTCTATACACGACTCAACATACACACAGACCCACCAAGCAGGCTCATACACTATACCCTCTGGGTTTGACTGGCGGGCTAGCGTACACTCACCTTATTGGAAGCCACAGAGGGAAACAAGCAAGCATAATATCACGGTGTGCATAATATTGTAGTGTACGTCTCTGTACTAATCATAACAAAAGTATCCCGATACGCTTGACATACAAAATACATGAGGTCTCAGCGCATCAAAACATGACATATAATTATGATACAAATCATACCTTATTCTTTTCCTAACATAGCACTCTTATGAGACATACGTATGTAAGACTTATCATATGTTTCACGATTAATATATCTGTCTTTCTAATGTCTCATAGGCATAGACCAGATACATTAACATAGTTTACATGGCGTAACATATGGAGGTTCATGTATCATACAATATCGATAACACAACATAATTTCATACCATATCATATCATAGTATAACTTATAACATAGCATAGCATAGCATAACTTGTATCACAACATAACAAATATCATAACATAACATATCAAAGTACCCGTCAACCAATCACAAGACATGACTCGTCTAGGCACCACAAAACACACGTCATTCATACAGCAAACAAGTCATTCAACCACGTCAATAGTAAAGGCACTTGGTTACCCATAATTACTAATTATTCCTCGATTTGCTTCTTACCCATGCATTGAGTTATGGCATAATATATAATTCAATTAAGTCACCTTTTAGTTAAAATTGACCGAGCAATAGTAATACTTACCTCAAATAGTCATACCTTAAGTATCAAATGAAAGGACGGACAACCAATGAAGCTCCATAGAGCAAGTCTCAAGGGGCGAGCCCCAAAGGGACTAAGACCCGAACGAGACGTCCTAGAGTCAATTAGAAGACCATGAGAATTCTGTAAAGTTAGGATGCGACGAGAGCCTACAAGTAGGTGGCTTACTAAGTATAATTTTTATACTCATCCCATTTTTCCTCGTTTTTTTTCAGGTGTTCGTAGACTGTCGGTCGAGGTAGAGGAGCGTTCAAGAGTTGTACGGTCACAGAGGGGGTCGTTCCGGAGCGTCAGTCCCTCTTCTTAAACATATGAAAATTATGCTTCTTCTTTATTTTGATTTTATTGGATTTTTCGTTTTTTTATCTTTTACTCTTCTCTTCTCTTTCTTTTTGTTTGTTTTTTATTTCATCTTTTGGGTCACCGTCCGAGTTTCGAAGCCTCGAAAATCGAGTCGTAACACGCCATTAAATATGTTTGAATGTAAACTAGATACATCAGATCTCGATATGTTTTGGGCATAACGAGTATAATAGAAACCTTAATAGTAACAATGTCCTTTTAAGTTTGATACATAGATAAAGTGCATGGATGCAAAGAGATATCATAATGTTTTTATTGTTGTACTAATCTCATCGAGTAGTTGCCACCATCATTTTACCAATGATTTGCTTGCCATTCGCTTCTCATTAATCATCCAACTCCTTCTTATATCCTATCAAAATTGACAAACAATAATAAGAACAACAACGGTACCTACAAACATAATCATTCATACAAATGGAATCGAGCAAACTATTGGAATAGGAAGATCTAATGTAACCGTTCAAGCCCACGCTGGTAGATATTGTCTTCATGTTTATGTGGGATCTCACAATTCACCCTATTAGGGACCCAACATCATCGTTGGCCCGTCACCTGGTGTCTAGATTTGATATCGATATCATTTGTAACAGCTCAAACCCACCGTTAGTAAATATTGTCCACTTTGGTTCATTACCTATTGTCTTCAGTCTTACGGTTTTAAAATGCATCTAACAGAGAGAGGTTTTCTCACAATTATAAGAATGTTTTATTCCTCTCTCCAATCGAGATGGGATTTCACATAATGACCCGAAAATTCGATCAACCCAATCCAATTATACGGATTTGAATTCAATTAGATTAAACCCAACTAAATTTCAATATACATTTTTTTTCTTAATTTTTTTATTCTCCCACACCATAAATATAAAATAAATTTATACTTGTCAACTAGCAAAATAATTATCAACAGTAAGTTTCAATGAAAAACATCAACCGACATAAAATATATGTATATATTAAATAAATTTCAAATCTTATACGTGGTATTAAGCCAATTTTCTATTCTAAGCTACCACATAAATCCAACTAAAAACTCGAAGTACCTAATAAAACATTATCGATAACTTATTTAACGTGGTTGTCTGTTTTTAACTATCATACGTATTATCAAAACACAATATAATTATGAGATACATGTCGTCCCCACTCTCAAATAATAATTTACTAGTACAATAATCTTACCTTCGACACCAAGAGGATGGTGGGGTTCGTGTCGATGATTGGCACGAGCATCACCATAGTCTCGTAATCCAATCATCTCATCATGTCCTGTAACATTTTCAATCATAAAACTCATTCAAACTATCGAAAATCTAAAATTCATAACGAACAAAAATGGTTATGAAGAAGAAGAAGAAGAGGGTTTTGTTCTTACTTTCTGTGCTTGAAATTGGATTTGCAGGTATGTTGCGAGCTTCAAAAGCTGCAACAATGGCGGCAGTAGAGAGAAGGAAAAAGAGGAGAGAGAAGTAAAGGGAAGATTGAGAAGCCATTAATTTATCTTTATGTCTCTTCCTGGTTCTCTCACCTTATGATATGGAGAAGAAAAACCCAAAAGACTCCATATTTATAGAGAGAGAGACCCCAAAATGGCTCTCCACTATGAGTTTTGGGTATGGACAGAAATGGGTTTTCTTTTGTTTACTGTTTTAAATAAAGTTCTTGATGGGAAAAAATTTTGCTTGTTCGTGTTTCATAACGAGTCGAAATATCTTCTTTGTGGTTGGATTAAGAGCAATGCATCGACGTATTTTTTTCACTGTTGTAGGATCACTACAACTGACTTCACTAAAATTATTTGCAAGAAATTTTGAACCGGAATGTTTATACTTACTTCAATAAAGATGTGTGGACTTTTTCGATAAAGGAGCTTTTTTTGTCTTCAAGTATGGAGTAATAGGAAAACGCAGTAATTCAATTTTGTAGCTAAAATTATGTATGAAGTAACGAAATAACGCTCTAGTGTAATTATGGTGTTCGATATTAGTTAACTATAGAAAGCCTTGTTTAATGGCTTTGATTTAAGAAATTTATTAGAATCATGTGGGATAAAGATAATGTTTAAACCTAATCATACACTCATGTTTGTAATCATAATAGTACTTTTAACTAAAAATACTAAGAATGTGTATGGATGAAAACGTTAAAAATATACCAAAAAAAGAAAAAAACTAGAATTATTGGTGTCGAAAAAATGTTGATCTTTCATCATCGTTTGAACTAAAAAAAAAAATTAACGTTTTATATAAGTTCTACAAGACTACATACTTCTAAATTTTTAGAAAATGAAGTTAGTAGCTAATGTCAAATTCACCTCTCTTTCAATGAACCATACAAGAATTTTGGCGCAAGGAAACCCTAGAAATCATCGACCTAAAATGGTTGGTCGAGAATAAATCAATCCGGATATAGTTCAATGAATAAGACACAATTCATCATTTCAAAAGTTATAGTTCCATGATGGATCCATTCTTCACCTCCGTAGTTCTTGAAGTATAGAAAAAAAAACATATAATCATACTTAAATTTATATAATCAAACTCTCTCGAAACTCAAAAGGCTTAAACATTAAATTACTAAAGAAGCTCATAAATTACATTAAAGAACCCTTCTTTCTATGAGTCTTCTAACACATCCAAAGCATAGATGAGTTATGGATTCAAGCAATTGAATGAAAGAGGGTATTTCTGTTCCAAAGTCAAAAAGAAAGATGATAGCCATAGAAGAGGTTCCAAATAGTGCAACCAATATGCTTACAATAAAACCAGGTTTCAACTTTCAAGCCATGCCATGATTTAGCTCTCTAATTTGCTACCTTCTCTTCAGTTGACTTGCACTAATGGCACTTCAATCAATACAATTTGAACTACTTTTGTTCAACTCTTTGTAGGCATGAAATGAGCGATTCAGCATTTATTTTATAATAATACCTAATAATACCAAACTTATATGTTAACTTTGTAGTCATCTAACATTATTTTTAATCGTTCTCTCAATCTTGCTTTCAAAATCTCTACTCCATTTTCTAAAACTTTCTTCTCAAAATGGGGTGAAAGGCTTGAACATACGTTGCCCGGCCAATCTCTTAGCTCCGTTTTCTAAAACCTTCTTCTCAAAACGAGACCAGAGGCTTGAGCATACATTGCTCGACCGTAAGCGACGCGATCCTAAGTTGGCTTGGCTCACTCTCAATGCAGAGAGTGAGTACCGAACAATTTCCAACTTCGCTGCCAAAAAAAATAAAGTGCAATTGTAACACAATATTTGATACTGATGTCACAATCTCTTATGAATTGAATGAACATTCAATGGCCATTAATGGAAAGAACAATTGACCTCTCTTTCAGTCAAAAGGGAAGTGAAGTGATGAAAAGGAAACGAACATGGAGCATGAAAACATTCAAAGAAATTCCACTACCAACAGGCATATGAGCACCTACAAATCTCAAACCAAACCTGTCCATCCCATCAACTATGGATCCCAAAATTCACTGTATTTTGGTTGACTTTGAGCATTTAACTTCTCTTCCCTTATTTGAAGGGTGGAGGGACCTCCCTTTGCATCATTACTCTAGTAAAACAGAACATTGACATTCAAATCTCAATCACATTTACTTCTACATCAACCAAGGCACAAACTAAGAAAAATGCACATGAAGATTCAATATATCGCGATGGTAAGAATATTCGTACCTTTTTTTCTGTTTGTAACAGCCTCTTCAAACAATTTCTTCTCCATTAATTTGGTTGAGCAAAGTTCCTATCCATCAATATAAACATAACAATACAAGCAGTACAATCAATATAGTTTTTGATACTCGTGAATGGCACCGGCCCTGGCCTTGATCAAATGACTGTTCTCGTCAGCATATACATACATGTCTAAGAGAGTTTGTGATTAGAAATCAGAAATCAATCAGATTACAGTAAGATCCATCCTTTTTTTTTTTAACTTTAACGTTTCTTGAACCCATATTTCTTACGTTCATAGAACAAGTCTGTTTTTGCACTCCCTAAGTTAACGATCTTTGGACATCCATCTCTATCTTTCTCCTGCTGTGTACACTCTTTGCAGTAGTAGGCATCTGAGATTCCTACTCCTCCACAGATAACACAACGGCCTTGGAAAGACCCGTAATTGCATTCATCACAAACACGAACAAGCGTACAGGGACGGACATAAGAATCACAGATTACACACTTCCCATCACACTTCTCACAGAGTCGGCCAATGGCAATTCCTGGCTGCTTTCTGCACATAATCAAATCGGGATGATGCTTGGCCATGCTTTTTGTAACTGCAACAAGCTCTCAAGTCCGGTAAAGTTTCTAACCTGCAGATGTGTTATCAAACTTGGAAGTTTTAGCATAAACTTCAAGCACCTCACTAAAGGGAGAGCTTATCATAAAAATAAACAGTTAGGTATACGAATTAAGCCACACAAAACAGATGGACGAGTAGCAATTAGAGAATGTTAGTAAATATGACATAGAATCACATCGAGCCTCTTGCCACGGGTAATAAGCCTTTATCTCTACCAATTCACAATGAGTAAGAAATCATTATGGTCCCACTATATCCAACTAAAGCAAATAACAGATCCAAATGACTGAACTAAATAAGATGAATATCTGCACAACTGGATACTAGAATCAAACTTCAAATTTCATTCTTCATATAAAGCTACTGCTCCAAAAAACCAACAAATTTGCATCATGGTATATATTCACACTGAAGTTGGAGTTCTTAGTACCAAGTGAATAATTTAACTGGAAACGCGATAAAATTACGGGCGAACCTTCTATCCCTTAACATTTAAAATGAATGTTGCACAATAATCCCCATTAAGATACATGGAAACCATAATCGAAGCACAAAAATAAAAACTAGAGAATGTAGCTAATGAATTTCACTACTAGCTAACAATGAGAAATAATATGAATCTGGTTGTTTGATCCTTCAATTATTTTAATTAATGCTCTAACCACAAGAGTCAACTTGATAGGTCTACATAAATATAGCTACTAGTTAAAGCACTGGCCACATTCTCCAGTTGTTCATATTTTTAGCGCTCATTGTGTTCTCCATGTCCATTCATGAGGCATCTGTTTATTGTTAGTCTCAAGCTGAGGCATCTGTACATGCTACCTACACCATCTAGATGTCTTTCAATCCTTCCAATTAGTTTTATAAAGTAAAATTTGATCTCCTACCTCCTCCAATTTCCACCACACTTTGGTTGTGCCTACATTCATAAGTTCCATTGAACACAACCATATTAGTACTTTGCCTTTATGGCCATGTAACAACCCAAGCCTACTGCTAGTAGATATTGTTCTCTTTGGACTTTCCCATACAAGCTTCCCCTCAAGGTTTTAAAATGCGTCTGTTAGGGAGAGGTCTCCACACCCTTATAAAAAATGTTTCGTTCTCCTCCCCAACCGATGTGGGATCTCACAATCCACCCCCCTTCGTGGCCCAACATCCTCGATGACACTCATTTCCTTCTTCAATCGATGTGGGACCCCCCAATCCACCCCCGCGTCTTTACTGGCACACTGCCTCGTGTCCACCCCCCTTCAGAGCTCAACCTTCTTGTTGGCACATCACCCGGTGTCTGGCTCTGATACCATTTCTAACCGCCCATACCTACCACTAGCAAATATTGTCCTCTTTGGGTTTTCCTTTCCAAGCTCCTCCACAAGGTTTTAAAACACATCTGCTAGGAAGATGTTTCCACACCCTTTTAAAGAATGTTTCGTTCTCCTCCCCAACCAACGTGGGATCTCATACTCCACCACCCATCTAAAGGAAAGTGCTCAAATTTACAAAGTTTGTACATTTTTCCACAAGAAGCTCACCACTCTTATACCAAAATAGAGTTTTGATAATACCCACTAACACGTTCAAGGATCTCGTCCTCAAATATGTCACATCCTAGGACAAGGACTCTATCTTGCTGGATTGAAACAAATTGTGGCAATCTCTAATACCTTTGTTCCAAAACAACAAATACAAAGAGAAAAGTGGAGGCCAAGATCCAAAACAGGTGCTGATATTGCAATGTTAAAGCACAAATAATAGCAATGACAAACAAATGCCTTCTAAATAAACATTGAGAACAATAAATGAGAGCTAAAATAGGAACTACCAGAAGAAGGTGGTCATGCCTTCAACTACTAGCTAATTGTCTAAATGTATGAATCTAACAAAATTAACTCTGGCTGAAAGATTCCTCCACCGTTTGATTCATAAAGAAATAAAAGCCAGAGATTTGAGAAGTTATTCAATTTTTCCAAGTTTAAAAGTGAAATTCTAACCCTTGAATCTTAGGAAAAAAATTAATGATCCCTTAAAACATTGTTCTATTAGGAATAAAGAAAGGTAACTCATGTGGAGGGATTCAAACAACATTCAAGGGTTGAGGGGTTCAAACCACTAACCTCTTGATCAAAAGTATATGTCTTAACCAATTGAGTTGCTCAGCAAGTTAGATGCTTAGGTTAGATATTATTCTATCTCTTAGTGCTTGTATATTATTTTAGATAACCTAGCAACAAAAGTTACTAACTCTCTCATCTTTCCATTCATTCTTCTCCCTCTCCTTCTTTCTTTTTCTACCCACGACCCTTAACCCTATAAACATAGAATCAAATACTAAATTTCAAATTTGAAACACCAAAAAATCAACTCAACCCAAGCACCACTCCACATCCCCTCCCCATCTATTCTTCTCCTTCAATGCCACCGTTAGCTTTGTAGCAAGAGAGAGATAGGGAGGACCTACTACAATTATGTGATTAGCTTAAAGTTTCGACTCAACGCCTCTCAATCTATATCCATATTATATATAAAAGTGGCTAAAAGGGACAATCTTTAGTCCCCTTCAAACCTTCCACTTTTTAAACAATATCTATGTTAACCCGAATAATCTCTAAATCCTTTTAAACCAAGCACATGAAATACAAAGCATATAGATGACTCTTATTTCCCGTAAATTCAAGTATCGTTGGCTATGGTATTGATAAATCCGCGGGAGAGAGTTTCAATTTTCAAAAAAAAAAAAAAAAAACACAAGGTCATCTCCTAGCTACAATCTACAAAAGGATAATTATAATATGATTGAGGTTGTCTGGTCAATCAAAATAACCCCGACAAACTAGCAATTAAATGAGAACTGGATAATAAGAGAGATTCTTCGACTGGTTCTCCGATAAATAAAGAGGAAGGAGATGCTGAATAATTCAGTAGAGGCAAAAGAGATGTACACTTCAATGAAGAAAGAAAGATGGAGATCGATCGAGATAGTACCAGTAACGACAAGAGAGTAGAACAACAGCTCAAACCCGCTACGATGGAGGCTGCGGCAGCGGAAGCAGAAGAAAAACGCCCCCGACAGTGACGCAGAGGTATACTACCGAAAGAGAAGGGCGCAAACGGAACTGCTGGGTGCTGTGAGATGGAATGGGCGGGAAGGTCCGGGAAAGAAGAAGAACAAATACTATTTAGGGCAAAATTGTTGGGCTGAAGGGATATGGGCCTTAGAGGATGAGCGATGGGCTGGCCCAAACCCACTTGTTTTCTTCCTCCAAAACGGCTCAAGCCCACCGCTAAGCCCACCGCTAGCAGACATATTGTTCTTTTTGAGTTTTTCCTTCAAAGCTTTCTTTCACGGTTTTAAAATGTGTTCTTTAAAGTTAAAAGTCAGACATCAAGTGGTGTGCCAGCAAGGACACAAGAGATCCCACATTAATTTAAGAGGGGAATAAAATATTCATTATAAAAGTGTGAAAACTTCTCTCTAACGGACGCGTTTTAAAACCTCTAACGGAAATTTCATAAATAACCATATCTACTAGCACCGACTGTTACAAAATAACTCATCATCATGCTCTCCTCTAGCTCAACATAATTATGTTTAAAGAAAAAAAAAATGTGATATGTAAAAGGAGAGTAAATTTGCACACCAATGTGGTGCGACTCACAAACTCCAATGCTTAAGTTAACAACCCCTTCAAGTTTATTACATTTTCTTTGCAAATTAGGTTAGTAATGATTAATCAAATTGAACTAGAATGTCGAAAGTCAAGGTCATACACGACGCCTGGCTCCTCGAGAAATTGATCATAGGGTCGCCCTCTGCCTCATATAGCAAGGTTGAGGAGTTGCATTTCGACTTTAGCCCAAATTCTTCTCTTCTCCTCTACCTCGTGGCTCGATCCTTTTGTATTTACCATAACTTTGTCTCGCGTCGAGTTTGTTCTAAAAGTTCTGCTTCTAAAAAATTGACATTTGACAACCCTTTTTAAAATAATAATAATAATTACCAAAAGTTTATTCTTGAAATAAATAAATAAATAAATAAATAAATAAATAAATAAATATATATATATATATATATATATATATATGGTAATTGATGTTTTATTAATTAAAATATGCTCGTACCAATTTAAAAAACATAAAATAATGAACATAAATTTGATAATATATATTAAATAATAATAATAATAATAATGAATGTTAAATTATTAACAAATTGAACTACATAAAATGACTAAATTAGGTTTATAACCATTAATTTCTTACATTTTTGCCAATGTAATAAGTAATAATTTAACGATTAATATTGAATTAAAATTTTAAAATCTAAACGAACCTGATTCTTTATTTTACTTTTCTACAAAGAAAAAAACTTTCAACTATTACTTCTTTTATTAAAAAAAAAAAAGAAATTATAAAAAGTTAGTGTTCTAAAAAGTTGGAAGAGAAAAAATATATATATAAAAGGAAAAATTATTCGATTTAAATTTCATTTTTTACTATATTATTCTCTTTTGATATTTAAAATTTTAACATATTTATTCAAATCATTTAGTTATTTATTTATTTATTTTTGTCTATTATCTCAACTTTTAAAATTTATATTTTTTTTTTATATAAATAAAACGGAAAAGTTTAAATTTGTGTATTACAGTCTTAAAATGAGCATACAGAGTAATCATAATAGTTCGAGTGAAGCGTGGATATGTATTAGATAGTAAATGGAGATCAAATACGTTAGTCAACCTATTAGACTCGGAATTAAAACATTAAGAATCGAGATGTTAGAAAACTTGAACAAGACACTTAGGACACTTAAGAGGGTGCTCAGCAAAGCAAAGAAAAGAACATGTGCCTTTCAATTGCTTGTTTCCTTCCCTTTTAACCAAAAGCCAATTTGAATCAAACCCCACGCAAGCAATCCCCAATTCCACAGCGTAACAACAAGCTTGCCCATTGAAATCCCAAAGCCTTTTTGGCCCCCATCGCCCTCTGCGCCATTACCCAACTGGCTCCCATTAACCCTTTGTCTCTGTCTTCAATGGCCTAATACAATCCCACCCATTTCCCCATTTTCGATTTCCCTCTTCCTTTTACAAGATTTGCCAACAAAACCCTTCTCTGCTCGTTTCTCAAGCAGCTCTAATGGGGTTTTGGCCTTGTTTAGCACCATTATGCCTCTTTTTGCTTCATTCCCAGTTAGCTTCTTCAGCTTTGATACTCAGTTTGAAGCACCACTACCGCAACAGTGACCACCACAATCGGCGGCCGATGCTCCAAGCCAACCAGAGTAGCTGTGCTCTGTTCTCCGGCACTTGGGTCCGAGACGACTCGTATCCACTTTACCAATTTTCAAACTGTCCCTTCATTGATGCCGAGTTCAACTGCCAAGCTTACGGCCGACCCGATTCAAACTACCTCAAGTACCGATGGCAGCCGCTCGATTGCGAGCTCCCAAGGTCTGAAATCGAAAACCCAGTTTGGTTTTGTTTGTTGTTTTTTTGTTTGTCATTCACATTTTGATGGATCCTGCTGTAGCGTTTTGATTAAAGGTTCGATGGGGCTGAGTTTTTGACGAGAATGAGAGGAAGAACTGTGATGTTTGTTGGTGATTCATTGGGGAGAAACCAATGGGAGTCATTGATTTGCTTGATATTAGCATCTGCTCCGCAAACGCCCACTCAAATGGTTAGAGGAGAACCACTTTCAACCTTCACATTCCTGGTGAGTAGACATTCTTTAACCTTAAGATTTCATTTAAACATTGCTCAAATACCCACAAAAAACAGCTCAACTCATAGATCTCAGTGATATCAAGTCTTAATCTCTGTTGGGTTTTGACATTTCAGGATTAGAACTTTGAATCCCTGGCTGTTTTTGAGAATGAACAATAAACTATCAACTTTAAGACGATTATTGATATCATTCCAGCTCGATTTGTATGGAATCTCTTGCTCTAGTGATACCAGTCTTAATCTCTGTTGAGTTTTGACATTTTAGGATTAGAACTCCAAATCCCTTGCGGAACCATAAACTATTGACCTTCAAGACGATAATTGATATCATTTCCGCTCGATTTAGATGGAATCTCTTGCTCTAGTGATACCAAGTCTTAATCACTGTTGGGTATTGACATTTTAGGATTAGAACTCCAAATCCCGTGCTGTTTTTTGGGAATGAACCATAAACTATCAACCTTTAAGACGATAATTGATATCATTTCCGCTCGATTTGGATGCAATCTCTTGCTCTAGTGATACCAAGCCTTAATCTCTGTTGGGTTTTGAAATTTTAGGATTAGAACTCCAAATCCCTTTCTCTTTTTGGGAATGAACCATAAACTATCAACTTTAAGACATAATTGATATCATTTCCGTTTGATTTGGATGAAATCTCTTGCTCTAGGATATCAAGCCTTAATCTCTGTTGGGTTTTGAAATTTTAGGATTAGAACTCCAAATCCTTTTCTCTTTTTGGGAATGAACCATAAACTATCAACTTTAAGACATAATTGATATCATTTCCGCTCGATTTGAATGAAATCTCATGCTATAGTGATACCAAGCCTTAATCTCTGTTGGGTTTTAAAATTTTAGGATTAGAACTCCAAATCCCTTGCTGTTTTTAGGAATGAACCATAAACTATCAACTTTAAGACGATAATTGATATCATTTCCGCTTCATTTGGATGAAATCTCTTGCTCTAGTGTTACAAAGTCTTAATCTCTGTTGGGTATTGACATTTTAGGATTAGAACTCCAAATCCGTTGCTGTTTTTGAAATTGTACCCTAAACTATCTACTTTTAAGACGATAATTGATATCATTTCAGCTCGATTTGGTTGATAGATTGAAGCCACTTTTGCAGGAATATGGGTTAAATTTGAACTATTACAAAGCTACATATCTGGTGGACATAGAAATAGAAAATGGGAAGAGAATCTTGAAGCTAGAGGAGATATCAGTGAATGGCAATGCTTGGAAAGGAGCTGATGTGATATCCTTCAACACTGGCCATTGGTGGAGCCACACAGGCTCTCTGCAAGGGTTTGTTTGATATTGAACTTGAAATCTTGATTGATATGATATGATCTGATCTTGATGTGATGAACGGTGTTGATTGTGTTTGTTTCAGGTGGGATTATATGGAATCTGGAGGATCATATTACCAAGACATGGATCGGTTGGCTGCAATGGAGAAGGGTCTAAGAACATGGGCTGATTGGGTTGATAAGAACATTGATGTTACTACAACAAGGGTTTTCTTCCAAGCTATCTCTCCCACTCATTACAAGTAAGTCTTCTTTTTTTTTTCTCTGTCTTTATTGTTTTCCTCCATTATTGAATGTTGGCTTGGAGCCCTACAAAAACTTTGTTCCCATGCTCACTTAGCCTCTCCTCGATTATCAGTTTAGATCTGATCGTAGATAATTACCATTTTAGCCCTTTTAGTTTTACGAGTCGAATAAATTACAAGTTCAGTCCCTAAACTTTGGTTACCCCTTCAAATCTCACCGTAGATAATTACCATTTTAGCCCTTTTAGTTTTACGAGTCGAATAAATTACAAGTTCAGTCCCTAAACTTTGGTTACCCCTTCAAATCTCACCGTAGATAATTACCATTTTAGCCCTTTTTAGTTTTACGAGTCGAATAAATTACAAGTTCAGTCCCTAAACTTTGGTTATCCCTTCAAATCTCACCGTAGATAATTACCATTTTAGCCCTTTTAGTTTTACTGAGTTGAGTGAATTACAAGTTCAGTCTCTAAACTTTGGTTATCCCTTCAGATTTCACTGTAAATAATTACTATTTTAGCCCTCTTAGTTTTACTAGTCGAATAAATTGCAAGTTTAGTCTCTAAACTTTAGTTATCCCTTCAAATCTCACTGCAAATAATTACCATTTTAGCCCTCTTAGTTTTACAAGTCGAATAAATTACAAGTTTAGTCTCTAAACTTTGGTTATCCCTTCAAATCTCACTGTAGATAATTACCATTTTAGCTCTTTTAGTTTTACGAGTTGAGTAAATTACAAGTTTAGTCTCTAAATTTTGGTTATCTCTTTAGATCTCACCGTAGATAATTACCATTTTAGCCCTTTTAGTTTTACGAGTCGGAACAAATTACAAGTTCAGTCTCTAAACTTTAGTTATCCTTTCAGATCTC